CAATTTCAACTCATAACTGCTTGTTTTATTCATGGTGGATGTGGAAAACTGACTAAACTCTCCTTGCAGATACCTTTTAAGAAATATTTTATTCAGACCAAAACTTCAGTATTCCCTGACTGAAAGGCAACTTTAGCAGGTGTTGTTTTAGGGGGAAGTCCCACAGACCACCCTGTATCCCAGCACTGTTTGGCAGCAGAAAAAGGATCTACTACCATATTCTGGGATCAAATATAGCCATATTTTTTTACAAAAAAAAAAAAAAAAAAAAAAAAAAATCAAACAACCAAACAAACAATCCACCCTCAACCAGTCAAATTTTACTGGCAAAGATCAAGCTTTCAAGTTCAAAGCATCAACGATGAAAACTGACGTGACCCACCTACCAAGTGTGACAGCTCACAGGCAGTGACAGGACGTCAGAGCTGCCTCCCAGTGATACCTGCAGGTAACTTTTTTAAGCTGCTTTATATATCACCTGCTTATATCTGATGAAACATGATGTATAAAACCATTGGAGGGCTAACCAATCCATTCTCCCCCAGTCTTTAATTACGGTTTCTCTCTTTCAGACTTCATTATTTTCTTTACAGATCTTGTTACACAGCCATAACTTTCCCAAATATCACATTATTCCAAACTGAATAAGATAGCTCCTGCTGAAGACCTACCACTCCTCAGCAGAATGGAGAAACTGCTTCATTGCCTTATTTAAAATGTTTCTGTATGTTTCAGTATGACAAATGAATTTTCATGACAGTGATGCTGCTGAGTCATGATAATTTAGGAACCATTACAACCCCCAGGATACTCCCCCACAGAACTGCTTCCCTACCAGCTGCTACTTGTCTGTGTAGGCAATACACCAAAACACAGTAATTTGAACCCATCTACACCAAAATGGCTGAATCCAAAGCTATTGTTTTCAGACCATTTATTGAATTTGTCAGGATCACATTATCTGTGTGTTCAGTAAGAACATTATTGCAATACAGGGAAGTGAAACCACCATAAAGTACATGATACAGGACAGACTCCCCGATGTGAACGCTCTTCCCTCGGACATACCCAAGTCTTGCCTTTTTTCTAGATGTTGTGAGGGAAAATGCTCCTCAACTTTTCAGCATTCTGGAACTTTTCCCACCCCCACAGGCTCTCAGCTCCCTAAACACCAGAGGATACATTCCAGAAGACCCAGTCAACCTGAAGACATTGAAGTTATCATTAACCCATTTCTCTACTTTTAACAGGAGTTCAAAGTAGAAGAAAGGCAGTTTCCCCAAACTAACAGTCAAGATCATAACACATTCAATATTTTCAGGATGAGAGATCCTTGCTGAGTTTTTTTTAAGATTAACATCAAAGGTCTTTTCAGATCATCTCACGTGAGTCCTGATTAATCCCTTGATGATGGATGACGCATTGTAACACAATGGCAAAACACTCCTCCTCTCTGCTGAAAGGCTGGAGATCTGTTGTAATCTTAACCATACACCTTCACCAGCAACTTTGTGAATACCAATAATTTCTGTGCCCAGAATAATACCATGTACCTCCCTGGCAGACTCAGTCCTTTATTTACAAGTTAATTGTTCATCACAAACTGAAGATGACAACATTCCAAGAGAGTGTCACTCATTGCCACATACTCTGTATGTTGCAAATATGCTATGGGGAGGGGGTTACACAGATATTCAGAACCTAGAAGAGACACCAAAAATAAAACTTTAATTAAAATGTCTAATTTCTTCCTGTATTGAAAAAAGGGATTCTTAAAACCAAGGACATTTAGACAACATTATACGCATACTTTCTTATCAAGTGCCACTAACATCACACCACAGAGCTGTGATCCTCCTTCCAGTGTGGAGGATAAAACTATGCAAAACACTGAACTGGAAATGATCACAAGATTCAAGCAGAAAACAAATCAACACTGGTATTTTTGCTAGAATGTCTGTAAGTCCTAGAGCTTCAGTTGCTCCTGGCGAACTCCCTAATGTACAAAAGTCCCTGAGGCACAAGGTCACATGCTGTAAAAATATTTCTTTCTGAGCATCATTTATTGCAGAAAACCTCAGTCATGTTTGGCTGCACTGGTTCAAAGCATTTTTGTTAAGCCAGACCTTGGAAGTGCAACTATTTCAGATTAGTCATATTATAGAACTGCATACACCAACACTTTGCAAAACTCATTGCTGTTTAATAATAGAAAGGTCTAAGTAGCATCAAGTGTGAAAATTCTTCTCCTGACTTTCAAAGACCAGTCAGAGAAGGAGTTGCACACTTCAGTCAAGAATTTCCAGTTTGGAGTGATAGAGCCTGATCACTAATATGTATGATCAGTTAAGCCAAAATGCTTCCCTCCCTGCTTACTGTCATGCTCACAGCCCTGTCTAACCTAGAACTTCTAGGTCTGCCCAGTGTTTGCACATACATGTACAGGGCAGTGGACACTTAGTCACTATCAATCTCTACCCAAATCCACTCCCAAAACCATAGATTTATCTTCTGACCATACAGTAACTCATTAAAGTTTGGCACATTTTCACAGGAACATATAAAGTTACAGTACACAAATTAAACAACATCTTGGCTTTCATGAAGTATTCTGAGCAGGACCATATTTCTGCCAACTTCACTGCTTTTCATCAAATATGACGAGCAAAGAGAACATGGACTTTAATTCCTCTTGCTGAAACAAAAGCCACACATGATTTAGTTGGCATCCTGGTCACTACGTAAGTGACAGTAAAATGTCTACTTACATTGCTGAATTTGCAGAACCAAAACTAAACCCCTCCTGCCTCTACAAATAAATTAACACAAAACTTAAAAATCCCAGACAAACTTCCTGGTACACACACTACCTCATCAAGTGCAAAATCCAGTAAGTATGACCTGGCCCTGGATAAGCTGGAGCAACAGTCACCCCCTGGTTTCTATGGAGCTGTGAGGAAAAGCTGTGTCCATGCAAGCACAGCCAGCACTCTGCAGGAGAGAGGTGCTTTAAAGCTTCAGCTCTACTGAACAGACTCAGCCCTTTTCCAAATCTCTTCGTACAGACAAACAAACAAAGCACACCCTGGAGTACACTTCACAGCTAAGTCAATTCAGCAGTTACACAACTAACTTCAAACAACTCGTAACACTGGGGGGAGAAAAAGGTAACTTTAACTCCTGAGCCAATAGTTTTTCTTCACTTTGTAAGGGCAAGAACTACATTATCTGACATCCCACACTCCTGAAGAAATTCACAGATCTAACCACAGCATTTTTCTGTATTAAAATAAGGATCCCACAACTCCTGAAATACTGTTTCCATTTAATGAAAATGCTAGTGAGTATTATTTTTCCTGTAGTGACTTAATTTCCTAATTTAAAACAGGAATGACAAGATTCAGTAACACCATGCAGCAGTCACATATGTGAGACAAGGTGACCATACCCTGTAAATATTCTCAAAGTGAAGATTTCTTTTCCTAACATTCAGAAAGTATGCACTTCCATTTGATTTGTTGTATTTCACATCTGCATTCTGCTCCTCATATTTCTGAGACACTGCAGAAAAAAACAGGATTTGTGGTTTTTTTAAAATGCCATCTGTTCCCTGCATATTTTCACTTTAGGTCCTCGTATGATATCTGCAATGGAAACTTCTGTGTCATATAGGATTAAGGCTATAAAACAGATGAATATAAAATGCAGAGGGCTGCTGCACTTCCCTACAAACAGCTGTAAAAAAACCCCAACACTGTAAGGAAGTATCACCTGAAGCATTTCTATTCCAAATACAAAACTTGTAATAAGTTCTTCTTAAAGGGACTTTCCTCCAGAAATGATGTGAAAGAGTGTGAGAGGAAAAGCTGCTTTTTAGAATTTGGGAGTTTTATTTGCTCCTACCACTGCTCTACACCTGTTTCCTTCCCGAGTCAGAAACTGGAAGTTTGAGATACCGGTCTCCAAATGGATAAGCTTCACGGGGAACCTTTCACGGAAATACCAGCCATCTTCATTCATGAACTAACATTTGCATAAGCTTTTTTCATAACCACCTAACATTTTTATAGAAGCAATGTCAACCCTACAGTAAACTCAGCTTTGATGGCGCTCCAATTATCTCAGCTGTTATCTCCATTCCCCCTCTTTGCTATTTCCACACTTTGCTCAGGCACTCGCAACGTTTCAGAGTATTATCAACATTACTAACACTTGTGTCACTCACAGCTCGGGGGCGGGGAAAGGCAGGCTGACCTACCTGGTCATGTTAATATAAAAAGATCTTTAAGCAGCACTCTTAAACCATTCCACCATTACTTATAAGAATTTAAATAGCTACTGTTCTTCTAAAGCTGTTTAAAAACTCGTAACTTGTGCAGACACCTACTGACTGTTCTAAAATCGTTCCAAAACAGCTCGTTACTAAACTGAACTGAATTTAAAGTCTCACATGGATATTGGAAACGCTAGGCGCGTTCCGATCAAGCCCAGCCCCAGCCCTCTAAGTCAAACCACACAAGACCTTAGGCCAAGGGGGCATCAAACACACCGGACACACGGAAACAACTTTGACGCCCGAAAGAGCCGCCTCACGCTCGGGCCGGGCGCTGTTTCCCCACGAGCAGACACCGAGCGGCACCTGACAAGTTTCGCAGCCTCGCTGGCAGCGGGCAGAGCGAGCCGAGCCCCGGCTGCCCGCAGCCCACGTGTCACTGCCGGCCGCCGACCGCCCCTTCCCGCCGGGGGCAGCCGGGAAGCGCGGCCCGGGAGGAGCCGAAGGGGAACGGCCGGGCCGCCTCGGTTTCGTTTCCAGCGTACCAGCGGGGTCGCCCCTGCCCGGCCCCCGGGACTCACCCGCCGCCCCGGCCCGCCCCCCCGCCCCGGCCCCCGCGCCTCCCGCCCCACCAATCAGAGGCGGCGGCTCGCACCGCCCTCGTCACCGCCTGTCGGAAGCAGCCGCAGACTACGAGCCCCAGAAGAGTACCCGCCATCTCCGCCGTGCAGGTAGGCGGGCGGCACGCCGCAGGGCGGACTGGGATTTGTAGTCCGCCTGCGAAAGACTTGCCCGATGCCGTGATGCCGGAAGACAGAAAGCAAGAATGGCCTCACTGCTCCCCAGGAGAGGTTCTGTCCCACGGGCAGGAGAGGACCGTGTCGCTCCTCTGCCAGACCGGCCGCGGGCCTCGGGCTGAGAGTGACCGGCACTGCTGCCCCCGGTATCGGCTCGGTGGGCCTTCCGCGGCCCGGAGGAACACGATGGGCCGCGCCGGTTCCCGCCCGGAGCGGTAGCGCTAAGCACCGGGCACCGTCGGAGCGTTTATGGGAGCACCGGAAGCCGCCGCAGCTGGCGGGTCCGGGGCGGCCGCAGCGCCCGGTGAGTCCTGCCCGGTCCCCGGTGGGCAGAGCGGCCCCTCCTGCTCTGGACTATACGGATATTCTCCGCTCCCTTCGCCCTCCGGCAGGGCAGTTTGGCTGCGGGAGCTGCCCTTCTCTCCCGGCGCAGCAGGACCGGGAACTGCGGAGTCAAATCCGGGGCGAGCCGCCCACGTTCCCCCGGTGAGCGTCGTACCCCGGCAGGGAGCTTACCTGCAGCTTGCATGGGGTGGCTTTATCTGCTCCTTTTTAAATTAATGTTCGCTTTTCCCGCGCATAAGGAAATGCTCCTTCATAAGCTTTGTGAAGCCATCTGTCAGTTGAAGAGGGAATGATCCATGAACGGGAAGTCATCGCCTGTTCCCTGATACTCGGGTTTTTAACTAGAAATTGTTCTTGCAACAGTTAATACAACTTTAGAATTTCAGTTCATAGAGCTGCTTGAAATGAAGTATTCTGCAGTGGGCAAGTACTGATTGAATACATATGTAATATATATATACACATATCTCTTTAAATATATACCTGTAAGACTCTTTGATAAGTGTAGATTGTGACTGAACTTTGAGCATCAGACCAACTCAGTCATTCATCAGTTTCAGACCTTCTTCTGAATTTTTCTGTTTTAGGGCATTGAGAAAACAAATATGTTTTCTGTCATACAACGATGCTGCTTCAACACACCTTTCAAAGTAAGTTACTGAAGGCTTATTTTGCTGATTTTATTTAAAAGTGAAATAGCAAAAGATAGGACTGCAGGTTTGAAAAAAAAAAGTGGTTTCCAAGTTAGCTTTTCTGGAATAGTTCATCGTTTCTTCAGCACTTTTAAGCAAAGCTATTTCTTTTATAAAATCAAGTTTTATTGTCTCAAAGTCTTTTTTTTCCTATCACTTCTTGGTGAAGTAGTGAGGGGACAGTAGCTGATTTCTGGGGTGACCATATCCTGCTTCTATATGAAACGACTTTATATTTTATTCTGAAAAGGACTGATATATCTTCAGGTGCCTAGAGAATGTGTGGGGAGGGATAGGTGGGCACTGAGTGAGCTTTGCTTGGGCGCTCTGGAGAGCCCAGTTACTCTTCATCACCTGCTTTGGGTGCCTTCATTAGTTCAGTTAAAACCACTTGAAATTCAAAAGGAAAGACAGCTGTGGTGTGACCTGACCTGGAAAACCACTTGGTACAATATTCAGGAGGCAGTTTAGGTACCTGCAGGTCTGCAAGCCTGCACTGTGCAGTGTTCAGAACAAGTTTTGTGCTTGCAGCTGCGGAGGCTACCTGGTGCCAGTCTGCTGCTCCATGGGAGGAATAAGACAGCCTGCTCTTCCTTGGCTCTGCTCCAGCTGCAGGGAGATGCACGTCCTCTCTCGACATCTCTGAGCCTCAAACCACCATCAATCTACACAACCCAGCTCCGGGCTTTCCACACCTCTCTGCCCGTCTCCACGAAGAAAACCCCTGCAGAATCTGAGGCACAATCACAAGAAAGCCTGGGATCACTGAAGGATTGTCCCAAGCCAGCCCTTTACTTAAGCCTGGGGGGGCTGATTCCCTTTGTGGCCGTGCCGCTGGCCATGGCTGCGCAGGGCACCTACTGCCCGGAGCTGGCCTGGGCTCAGGTGGCCTATGGTGCTGCCACAGCCTCCTTCCTGGGGGGAATGAGGTGGGGGTTTGCTCTCCCAGAAAACAGCCCAGCCAAGCCAGACTGGCTGAACCTGGCTAACGGCACAGTTCCTGCTCTGCTGGCCTGCCAGGCCTTGCTTTTCAAAGATGTCAGTCAGGGAGCACTAATGCTCACGGTGGCCTTGGGGATAGCGCTGCATTATGACATTTCCCTTCTTCCTACTTACCCCAGGTGGTTCAAAGTACTGAGGGTAGTGGGAACAGCGGTGATGATATCATCCCTCTTGGCCACTGTAGCACTGAAAGCTTTCTTAGAAAGGGAGCAAAGTGATGGCAAAAATACAGCAGAACATAAAGTAATAAATCCGTAAGGACAAGCTATTATCTGCTAATAAGGTATTTGTATGGAGTTCCAGGAGAGATAAAGACTGATTTGTGCTTAGAAGTCGTATGATGGCAGGGATCAAGATGCTTATTCTTGAAGCAAAATGATTTTCCAACTGATTTTGAAGCTAGTTCAGGAGGGAAGTACTGTAAATAGCAATTACTTCCAAGGCAAGCATGAGTCTGTCCTTATCTGTAGAACAAAGAATCACTCCTGAATGAGATGTTGCTGCTATGGGAATTTAGAATGGAGATTCAAAATGACATGGGTATGAATTACTCTGTGCTGAACTATGAAAGCATCTGCTTTGACTGTAATGTGTGATCATGTTCTGAGGTGGGGAAAACAACAGTAACAAGGTGAAAGCAGTTCTAGTTTGGTGTTTAAATAAGTAGCAGAGAATTATGCAGAAGCACTTCTACTCAGTTGCTGTGTTGTGGAGGAACAAGACTCCTATTCACTCCTATTTTCAGAGGAGGTGCTGAAAATCACAGAATGGTTTTGGTCAGAAGGGCCTTAAAAGATTGTCTCATTCCCATCCCCTGCTGTACACAGGGACACCTTCCAGGAGATCAGGTTGCTCAAAGCCCCATCCAGCCTGGACACTTCCAGGGGTGCTGTGTGGGAAGTCTCAGTGTGATGTCAGGTAAGAAAGGACAGGTGAGGTTTATTTGCAAGCCAAGGTCAGCACTCACCTGAAATGTGTCATTCAGCTGCTGTGCTGGAGTGGGGAGAAGCTGAAGAGGAAGCTTTGTATGGCTGACAAGGTGCCACAGGAGATGGAAGGTCAAATTCCTGCTCAGGCTTACTGAAATTAAAAAGGCTATTTGGGCCACCTGTTCCTAGGTTTTGTTTGGATAGGGCTGCCTGGCAAAGGAAACTGTGTCCAACACAGCCATAAAGATCTGCCATACTCCTAAATTAAAGGACTGTTAACTTATGCTATGACACAAGGACTCAAGTGCTGGCACTAAGGGATCAGATGATGGGACTGAAAGCAGCTTCTGTGTTCTCCCTCCTAAGAATCCATACAATTGGACAGGTACCAATGGGCTTGTAGGTAGCCTGCAAACCCTCTATGATGGGTCTGCCAGAAGCATATGCTCTCTGTACTTGATTCTTCCTAGCACATCATTTAGTGGAAGATACAACCTAAGTCACATGGATTTTCTTTTTTATGTCAGCTACCTCAAGAAACTATGAACGGGATGTGGGCATATTTCTTGTAAGCTTTTTATCAGAAGTATTTAAGTACAGTGTAAGATGCAGGAAGAAAGCTGAAAATGACATCCACATGTGGTCTTAGGGCCAGATAATCCTCAGTTCTGTTAAAGGACTATTCTTCATTGTTGTTCTACACCAAATAAAGCACATGTTGTCCCTTAAAATTTGTTACCTGTTCTGCAAAGAACAGATGCTTAAGGAACCCGCCTGTCCTGGAGATGAAACCATTTTGTATGATGTTTCTGAAACAGCAGCTCTGTACATCAGCCTCTCTCTTTTGCAATCTGTTAGCATTTTTATGTTAAAAGCAATTAAGGGTATCAATTTTAAGCAATTATGGGTATCAATTGCTCTATGCTGAACTATGAAAGTACCCTATGAAACAATATATTTCAGAGCTTTCTGAACATAAAGGAAATAAAATTGAATTTGTGGATGAAAATGGTTTTTCCATTCCTTCATACTTAGACATGGCATCTTTTAAGATAGGTCTAGAGAAGAGTCCTGCCTTTGTCTTGATTAGTTAAAAGAGGTGCTGAGGATCAGAGACCAGCTTCAAAGTTTTATTCAAACATGACAGTTACAAAACCTGGAGAAGGTAACTTCAGACAACTGCAGATTCCCTCAAGCTCCATTAAACCAGGAAGTTTACAGGTAGGGATCAGAGGTAAACCTGTAGTTCCCAAACTAATAAAATACAGCTAAGGTGGTGTTTCTCAAACAGTTCCAAGAGGGATCCTGAAATACAAAGAAGAAAGACTAAGAAATATTACCGGTAATTTCATCCCACAGAGGGCTGAGCAGAGCTGGCAAGACAGTCAGACTCCCAAAAAGTCTGAGTGATTTTACACTGAGAGGAGAAATACACGTGTATTTTACTGCAGAAGCATGTTACTTCCACCACTCAGTCAAAATTTATAACCAGTCTTTCCCCAGTGTTCTACTGGTAAATACGACTTCCAATAAAAAGAAAATGTGACCTATTATATGAAAGTGGCAGTAATACAGCTTACTAAGTTATGAAAGCAACCTATTCAAGAGCATTTCAGTCAGTTCTGAAAATACATTTTATTATGAAAAACAGTTCAAACAAGCTTATATTTGAAAAAAAATCAAACCATTAATTCAGACACATAAGAAATACTTTGAAGTAAAAGATTATGGAACAATCAGAGAGACTCTCCATCATCTAATATGTTTTAGCCCAACTCTATGTTAGATTTTAGGACGTCAATTATTAAGGTACCTCACCGTGGAGGACTTAGCATGTAATAATTTGTTAATTTTACACAGGGGATATTGATCTAAACAGCATGAATGCTCCTTTGTCTACACAGTGCCAGGCTTCCTGTTTTGTGACATTCCAGTTGTGCTTTGGTGATCCAGAATAACACTGTCTATCAAAATTCAAGCAGCCTCACTTCAGACTCCATCCAAATCATCCACAGCTGTGCTGAAAATGCAGCCACAGTGTGAAAAAAGCAACTTCAAATACGTTAATTAAATGAATCTAGAAATAACTCCAAACTCTTTGTACTATTGTTTTACTAAGTGTGTCCGAGCTAAATACAAACTCCTCAAGAGCACACTGGTATCATTACTTCAATACTAAATGCAGCTAATTCTATCACAGAAAGCTCCATTGGCTCAAATTTGGATGAGGCAGGATACAAGATGTAGTGAAGGTGAAGGAGTGTGTCTTGTAGAACAGCAAGTATTCAATGCCAAGTCTCAGCATGTGTGACACAGGGTAAAAACACATTTGACTATGGGGAAAAAAATCTGGGGCCAAAAGCCTTTCCCTGTGTTTTTATACTAAGAGCAGTGCTAAACAGAACAGCCAATCTAATGAATAGCATTTGCATTTAAAATTCACCAGAGCTGACACAAAAAGGAGCTCTACTGGCATCACTGACACCACTGAGAAGAAAAGCCAGCACTGAAGGAGAATGGCATTATTAGAACTGTGAGGACAATCTTCCATAACAGGAAATTCTCATCCACTCACCATTCAAATTTGTGGAGTGGCCAGAAAGTAAAGATCCAATTCATATTTAATGCCCACCATGTCCAGCAACAGAAAAGAGGCTTAAATGCATCAACGTTCTAAGCAGAGGCACCAATTTTATCCTGTGTCTTATCTTCTCTTTTTCTGCCAGAAAAAGAACTAATGCCATCCAAATCACCCATCTGGTCTTACCTATGGGTAACTCCTTGCTGTTGACATTAACCCACTTCCAGATTGCAAGTCTGGCTAAAGTGCCACCTCAGTAACAACCTGATTAATGTCTCTGATGTGTTGGAATTATTTCTTCAGATTTTTACAGGGCAAATTCACCATTTATTTCAGTGAGCTTAATCCAGTTCTAAGAGGCATTCCTACTCTTAACGGAATACTTCCTGAGACAGACACTGGATAAGCCAATTTACTTTGAAGGCTTTTCCTTTTGCTCAGGAAAATCCCTCTGATCTAATTCTCCACTGAAGCTCCTGTGTTAAAAGAGGTTTCTGGCCAATGAAACAGGAAATCTGAGGAGATGTAATTTACTCATTCCTTGAATGAGTAATTTCTTCTTTGTGTTTTACAGCACAGCTACACCTCCCTCGCAGCGGCTGGTGATCATGTTGGCAATTTCAGTCCAGCTGTCCATGTGAGGGTTATAAACTTCAACAGAGTCAGAGGTTACTGGAGCAGCAAAATCAGGACTGGGAGCTCGGCCTCCTGAGGCATAGAGAAGTCCATTCACAGCCACAACACAAACACCAGCTCTTGGGATCTTCATCGATGCAACTTCAACCCACTTTTCCTAACAAAAAGATGAAGAAATTAAGGCAAGCCCTGATTCTGCTAAAGTAACTTTTAAAGCTTAAAGACTGAAACATATACAAAGAATACTGTGTATACACTTCACAGGCTTACATGTGTTATGTGTACAGTATCCAGAGGATTACCAAGACAGGTATGACAACACTTTCACAAGGGGTCCAAATTGTGGTAATCTCTAAAGAGCAGATCCCGTACTGTCTGCACACAACACCCCTCCCTTTCTTCAGTCACTGCAAGATGCAGTCAGTCTCTAAAATAGAGCATGGTACAGTTTGAGGTGGGGGAAACAGGAAAACTGGATTCAATTTCAAAAGCAAAACAGATGGCACATGGGATTATGTTCTGCTTTTAAGAGTAGCTACTCTTCCAAAGAGCATCATAAAAACATGAGCAGTAACAGTCTGGAAATTTTTTTAATCTTCTAGTCGTGCTGAAACTCCACTACATTTTTATGCAGAATAAGATCCCCAAATTTTGCAATAAAAGGTAACTCTTACCTTTACAATGAGTTTTTCCTCTCTATTCAGATTATTGAGCTTTCTATTGCAGAGGGGGAATCTATCCTCTCATCTTAACCCTAACAAGTATTTACCGAACTACAGTTTATCTGTGCATAGTTAAACCATGACAACTACTTAGGACAGACCGTGAGATCACCAAAGCTTTGTTTCACTCAAGATACCCAGCCAGTAGTGAAAAGGAAATGGAAATTCCAGCTTTTTCTTTTTAAAGAAAGGAAGCAGGCTCTATAGCATCTTACACAAAGCTGATGCAATCTACATTTATGAAAAAAAGGGACTCTGCCATACCTCTTCAAATGAGTATCTTTCTACACTAGCAAGCGCATCCTGGGATTCATTCCAGCCTCCCACAGCATAGATACAGTCATTGAGAGCAGCTACACCAAGATAGGCTCTTCGTGTGCCCATTGGAGCGAGCTCAGACCAGCGTTTAGAGATGGGGTCGTAGACTTCAACAGAACGCAGCTCTACTCCTTCACTGCTGATACCACCGATGACATAAATCAAACCTGCAGAAACAGAGTTTCTCCTCTTTTAGGCTTCATAATGCAGACAGAAAATTACTGTCAAACACAAGTTTCAGCCTGGCATTAAGATGGTTAAAGAATGACAGAAAATCCTCCTTTTGCTCTGTAGTAGCATACATAAAGCTTTTGCATGAGCAGCTTGAGGCTTGAGTACTAGAAGCTCTGAGGAAAGCAAAAATTAATTAAGTGCAGGGGAAGGTTCATTCAGAAGGTTGCAACTGCTGACCTGGCCAGGATCAAACACTTAGTAAGCACATTTATTGGTCAAGTATTTAGACAAGTCTGTCTTAAAATAATCTGTGGCAAGTCTTCAGATTGCCACAAAGAGAAACATGCAAACCCAAATATGGAAGATAAATAAAAGTGGTATCAGAAAGAACAATCAACTGCAAAAAGACTAGCTGCATAACCATACTGGCAGCCATGTAAAAACTCTTCATGAGATAAAAGGCAGGAGACAAGAGACAACTTTACAGTCTTTGAATTCTGCAGAATTAAAAATAGAGTATTAGAACAATAAACAAGTGAGGCACAAGCGTGTGAGACTGACAGCTCAATACAAGACAAAGGTAAGAATTCATGACTGAGACATAAAGCTTCAAAATTCAATGGCTGTTGGAACTATTTAGAGATATAAACTTAACAGTATTCACCTTGCATTTCACAGCACCCAAAGCAGTAACGGGGCTTAGCCATGCTTCCCACCACATCCCAACTATTCTCTTCAGGATCAAATCTTTCAATTGTGTTGCCAATCTCTGCTCCAACCCAGCCCCCTGCAAATAACAGCAAACACAGGAAGGAATTTAATGGCACAAAGTTGTGTAGTAGCTGTGTTTTTAGACATACAGTGGACTGTTCCAGGACAAATTCTGAAATCAGCATGCAGTCAGTCTACAATGGAAATAAATTATAACTAAACAATAACTAATCCACAGAGATTTAGTATATATGTTAATATTTATGGACACAGATGTTTTTCAAACTTAAGTTTGTGAATTTGAATCACCAAGATGTAATATTTAAGATCAAATCAATTTACCAGTTCTATGAATTAACATCTTTAACTTCACCTAGAAAAACCCCACACTTACCCAAAGCATAGATGGCACCATAGCATGTGCACACTCCCAGTGCACAACGGGGATGGTTCATGGAAGCCACGGTTGTCCATTGCTTAGTAACAGGATCATAACATTCAGTACAGTCAAAAATCATCGAGTTGTCCTCACCTGCATAACAAAAGCAAGAAGAGTCAGGGGAAATGCAATCTTTTGCACTGCAGATATGGAAACATTTTTTAACTTCTTCCAGGACAGGCAACATTTGAATACAAGATTTATCTTTTGGTGAAACAGCCAACATAGCAAAAGCTTCATTTACACATAGTGATGATTATACATGAATCATCACTGGGAACCACTTTCATCAGTAGTTCCCTGCAATATTGCTAAAAACACCACAGAGGTAAACAACCACAGTGCTGCACGTTTCACTCCTCAGCACAATTGACTGGGTTTTCAAGACCAAAGAATGAGCTCTGCAGTGACAAAAACAGTCTACATATGCATTCTTTTGTGATGGGCTGGTAGAGTTACTCATCACATCCTTGTGCAAACAGACATAATGAGCCTTTCCAGGCAGGCAGTGCACAAGTGGTCTGTCCTGTGCTACTGCCTTTTGTGCTAAGGGCTTCTCCTAGACTGTAAGTGAGAAAACACATCCCATCAGTGGTGGTACACAAAGCCCCCAGAATAGACAACATCTTTGAGTATATCTGCAGTATATATGGTAACCTGTGAATAGCTACACCATGAGGGGAGAACAGCTTAGCAAAAACTGCCAGTACAGGATCCCTAACAGGCATTCACAGAGCAGTGACAGTAGAGAATCAAGGAACTCCAATTCCTTTGTTATTACACCTAAAAATTGTGTTATCCTCAAAACCACTTAAAAGAAGAATAATTTTGAAAGTCTTCATCCATGAGTTCTCTAGCATTCATGTAAGAAAGAAAGCTTATTTCAGCTGTTACCTCCAATGGCATAGACCATTCCTCCCACCACAGCCACCCCCAGCCCGCTCCGGGCCTGGTGGAGAGAGGACACCGTGGTCCAGTAGTGGCTGAAGGTGTCAAATCTCTCCACACAGCTGAGGGCTCTGCTGTCACTCCAGCGTCCTCCCTGCAGTCGGGTGTACCCACCTGCAAAGCAAGTGGAAAGGCCAAGTAAGAGCTTCCTGTTCACCCTCATGCTCCTATATCGAAACCATTAAAATATTACAGTAACAGCCATTAGTCACTCTTAGAAGGAATTGGATTTTTCCAAGTAACTTCATTTTTCCAGCATACAAGGAAGAATGGTTGCCTTGAGGGTCATGGAAATTGTGCTGAGCTGATGCCACAACACTAAAAATACCAGAATTCATGTTTTCAGTAAAATACAAGGATTGGCCAACTGCCTTTGCTGCATAACCATACTGGCAGCCATGTAAAAACTCTTCATGAGATAAAAGGCAGGAGACAAGAGAGAACTTTATAGTCTTTGAATTTTGCAGAATTAAAAATAGAGTATTGCAACAATAAACAAGCGAGGCACAAGTGTGTGTGACTGACAGCTCAGTACAAGCTGGTGTTACTGTCCACGGAGTGAAACAAACATGTTCCCTTCCAATATATAACTGCAGCTTTCCTGAAAACCTGGAATTTCAAGTATCCCATCATATGAACCAAAGTGTCCTGCACAGAAAAACCTCAGCCATCAGAACAAAATGTGCAGTGAATTTGTATACACCATTCCGGCAGTGAGCCCTGGGTAAATCCTCTGCTGATTTGCAGCTTTCCACCCAAGGCAAATTATTTTTGAACAGCAAATCTGGGCTTTGAATGCCATGTCACAATGACAAGAAATGTGAATGCTGGACTCCTGTGCAATTCTAATCAAAGCTGCTAACATGGTAACTCAGCCATGATGAAACGTTTTGGTATCTTTATATATTTTGATTTTTAAAAAATCCTCGAGTATCTCCTTCAGTACTGCATTCTGAGATACTATTTCATTTGCTTTATAAGGTTCAAACAGCCACATTCTAACCTACTGCATAAAGGTACTTCCTGGCTTTCCTCCGGGGACGACCTTTAGAAGCCTGCAGAAAACTGCTGACCTTGTTCTCTTTGGGAGACTTAGAGACTTCACAATATTCTTTCAACAGAGTTTGCAGGGCCACCCGAAGACTGAAATCTGGAATACCTTCAAGAGTAACATAATCAGAATAAGAATAAAATGAGCAGAATTTTTAAAAAAGCACAGTGAAAAGTAACAAACCGTAAGCAACTCAGTTGTACAAAAATTACTAACTTCTCCAAAAATAGCAGACAAATCAATGTTGCTTACTTTTATAAGGCATTTTCAAAAGCATTTGAAGAATAAGGTGTATAAATATTTTCACTCATCATGCTATTAATAAAGAATAGTCCATCAAAGCTCAGTAACTCTGAACAGTACATGGTTTGCTCACATACATGCATCTGATATTCCTTCTTTCACTTACTTTCTATGTATTTTAACAGCCTTTGTGCTGGTAGCAGAGGGAATCGAACAGGCTCCAGTACTTCTACGACATATTTCTTTCTTTTCCCCACATCCTTCAGAATCCATTGCATCGCCGCTGTGAACACCTGGTACTCGTCCTCGATGCTCAGGTCCTCGCTCCGCAGGATCTTCACGAGCTGCTCCTTGGTGAGCGCCAGGAACTCCTCCCCGCTCTGCACCTCCAGGAAGTGCGCGTGGATGTAGCTCTCGGTGAACTCCATCAAGTCGTGACAGGCGATCTGCTCGGAGAACTGGAAGAGGCCGATGCAGTTCAGCGGGTCGATCTGGCCCTTGAGGAACTCGCAGCAGAGCTCCACCACCTCGGTGAGCTGCAGCATGTCCGCGGCGACGATGAGCTCCTGGACGTTGTGCTCCGCGATGCTCACCACCCCTGCGGGCACCAAACCACAGCGGGGTCCCGCTCCAGCCTGCGGCCGCCGGGCACCCTCCCCTCGCCCCCCCGCAAGCCCTCACCTGTGTAGATGAAGTCGAGCAGCGTGTGGAAGGTGTCCGCCTCCACGCCCGCGATCCGCACCACGTCCCGCCCGGACTCCTTCATGCCGCCCGCGAACAGCGCCGCGAAGTACGGGCTGCTGGCCGCCAGCACCAGGCGGTGCACGGAGAACGCCTCCGGGCCCACCTCCAGCCGCACGTCGCAGAAGCTGTGCCCGGCGCGCAGCCGGTTGATCTGGGCCAGGAGGAGGCGGGCGTGCCGCTCGGAACTGGAGACGGAGCTGGAGCCAGAGCCGCCCTTGCCCATCCCGGCACTCGCCGCCATCGCTGCTGCGGCACCGGCACCCGCGGCGCCGGCCTCGCGCCGCGCACGCGCCCCGCTCCTCCCGCCCGGGCGCGTGCGCGGGGAGGGGGCGCGCTCCCCCCTGAGGCGGCTGTGCCTGGACGGGGCGGGCACCGGGACGGGCACCGGGACGGGCACTTCCCTGGGCTCCCAGTGGGCTCTGTGTTTTGTGAGCGCTCCGTGTGTGCCGAGAGCTCTGTGTGCCGAGCACCCTGCCCTCACGTCGGCACTGGTACAGGTACCTCTGTTCACTCCTTTGTCTATGCGCCTGCCTGGGCACCTGGTCCCGTGAGGCCCTACAGGAATCACAGAATCACCAAGGTTGGAAGAGACATTTAAGGTTATTCATTCCAGTGGTCCGCCCCTGTAACCCCTAAACTGCTAAAACCACATTGCCCAGTGCCAGATCCACATGCCTCTTAAACACCTCCAGGGCTGGTGACTCCACCACTTCCCTGGACAACCTATTCCACTGTCTGAGCACCCGAATAGTGAAAATTTTTTTCTAACATTTAATCTGAATCTCACCTGTCTTAGCTTAAGGCCATTTCCTCTGGTCCTTTCACTGCAGGCACAGTAAAAGAGACTGACCCCAACCTCACTGTAACCTCCTTCCAGGGAGTTGTATAGAGCAGTGAGGTCCCCCTCCTCACTGTACTCCTTGAGGCTGAGCAACCCCTGCTGCCTCAGCAGCTCCTCATAAGACATGTTTTCTGGCTTTGTTGCCTTCCCTGGGCATGCTCCAGCAATTCAATGTCTGTTTTAAAGTGAGGAGACCCTGTGCATCCCTACAGACACCTCTGGTCCCTGCTCTGCAAAGAGCTTGTCTGTGGTTAAAACGGGTCCCACACTTAGTCACTGCCTTCACAATCTCTGTCCCTCAGCCCTAGTCATGCTCTAGTAAACTGGGTCCCTGTCCACCTCAGTCTGTGCTTGTGAGAAATATGGCTATGTTGGGGAGAAATTGCACCAGTGCAGGGAACCGCAGAGGTGGGAGGCAGGGACACTGCCTGGGACTGTGGCAGCAGCCCAGTGTTGACAGGGAATAAGCATCACACACTGAGGTAAATGCACATGATCACCGGGTCTGGCAGAGCTGACACTGATTCTGAGAGAACAACATCCCTCCTGAGTTTTCCACAACTGTTCCAGGAGCATGACAGGCAGGCACAGTCCAGCACTCCTTTGTCCATAGTGTCATGCCATGTGTGGGCCTTCCTCTTCATTCCAACATGGATGTTTCATCAGTGTCCTGTAGCAGCACCATGTGGGTCACTGGGGTCAGCACTGATCCTGAGGCAAAGTGTGCTTCCATCTTAGTCTGTGTAATTCCCTGAGTCATGGCATGCCTGAGCACTGATGGGGGTGAACATCACGTACTGAGTTAAATGCATGCAGTCACGGGTCCAGCAGAGCTGGCACTAATTCTGAGAGAAAAGCATGTCCAGAGTTTTCCACAGCTGTTCCAGGAGCATAACATCCAGCCAGAGCAAAAAGCGATCAGAGAGCCACTTGGAAGGCTTCCATATCTATTTACTGTGAGACTGGGAAAGAAAAACATGTCTGCTCACAGTTACAATGGTCATGGCCCCTCAGGCTTTTCTCATGAGTCTGCATTTCATTGTAATAACTTTTAAATGTACTTCTGGAAAGAATCTGAATCATGATACCCTTGGGGAGGCTGCTGGTTTCTCTCTTCATCAGCATTACATTCTAATTACATTTCAAGTTGGTCTTCAAAAAATACCCATAGAAAACATAGATCTAGAGAGAAGGTTTCTGCAAGTACACCATTGGATGCATGCTGATATAACTCTGTACATTTTAAGCTTGGCTAATAAATGCATTGAAGTTTTTCTTTCTTTGATGCATCAGTAAAAGAAACCAGACCCCTTTTGCACTGACATTTTATTCATCGGAAGTGGCCTGTGAGTAAAAGGCTTAAAATTCTCCTAAATGCCAGTGGCTCGCTAGCTGATGTCAGCTGTTAGACTCTTGGCCAGCACTGGGATTTCACACCATAGCTCCAAATTTATGGACACAAAATAATGTTGCTGAGAGAGCTCATATTGCCCCAAAGGCCTGTGCTGTGCTGTGTTCCTGGTTCTGCCCTCAGCAAAGGGCATTTCTTCAGCAGGTGTCTTCTGTGGCCACACAGGAGCTGTACAGGATGGAGCTCATGATCCCATATACTACTGTGAATCTCCCAAAACATACTGTAGATTTTCAGGAATAAATTTGAGAGTACCTTTGACAGTGTGAAATTGCACTGTGTAACGAGGAGGCCTTTTGATTAACCAACACCAAGAATAGCAGTCACTGTAGTGAAGGAATTAAAAATATCTTCAATTTTAATATAATAGACTTAAAAAAATATATTTGCCAATAAGCCAGCTGAATTCTGACTGTGATGATAGGTGACAAAAAAAGGCATGTCCTGTGCTCCTCAACGTGTCCCACTGCCCACACCTCCTCCGAAGTGCTGCTGCCACCCCGTCAAAACAGTGAGAAGATTCTCACAAAAAACTATCCAGGTTTTCTCTTGAAAAACCCCTGTCCCACAGAGGCCCATGGCTGCTCAGATTTCCCTGGCTGAAAGGTTCTCAGGAAAACCTTTCCAGATGCCTGGACGACATTCTGCGGAGCCATGGGAGGTGTCTGTGCTGCTTCTCCCGAATCCTGCAGGTGCCGCTGTTACCGCAGGGAGATGTGTTGGAACATTAACAAAACCGGGACTGCAGGGTGACGTATTGGAACAGTAACAAAATCGGGAGGCTGAAAGGTGTTGCCTGTGCGGATGCTGAATCTTTCCTCTCTTACAGTATAATTTAAGTTTGTCGTTGTTGTGGTTTTGTTGTTGTTGCCCCGCCCCCCCCGCGCAAAATCTAAAAATAGTAATAATTTATTTGAGTGTGCAGTTTTGCCTGACTACTCCTTGTCATAACCTGTCCATTACACCTGCAGTTTTGGGGGCCATTTTGACTTAAAACCCCTTACCATACTTGGCTGTTAAATTCCCTGTTGCAGAGGAGACATGAAACTCAGGCATTGACTATTCGTAGGTACATCAGATCCCATGGGGTGTTTTGTGATATGGAGCCACCTTCCATTGCAAACAGAATGTGCCATAGTTTCTCCCCCAATTTATTGGGTATGAAATCTTCACTTCCTGTCACAAGCTGCATCTCTGCACTTTGCCCTCTGTGCTAAGACATCTGCTGTAACCTTTCAATGGTACAGGCAGTTGTCATTTTTGTTACTAATTATCCACTAGAGTTGCTACTTGTATTGTAATGCACTGGATCTGTCAGAGGAGAGGTGTTCTACAACCTCACCAAAATGGAAAGGAGCTTACTTTGTGTTTTGGTGTGAAGGTCACAAAATCTTCATAGAATACAACCATTTTTGCTCCACTTCCCTAAATTTCACAAGGATTTGAATTCAAACTTCTCCCAGGAAAGCAAAAATTGCAAAAGTGCAGAGCTACCAAGTGCTCATGAGGCGTACAAGCATCTGTAGTACAAGCATCTAAGCTACATCTCTTACACTTCCAAAACACCTTGTCTCTGTTAAGGTCTAGGTTTTTCCCACATGTCCCATTTACTCTGGATGCCATTGCATGCCCAAAGCAATGATGCAGATCAGCAGTCTGTGGATGCACAGTTGGTGGATGCTGTTGTGCATCCCTTGAAGGGGTAAGACAAGGCACGCTGCCGGACTTCACACTCTTCAGCCTGGAGGAGAGAAGAGGCTCCCTGGCTACTTGTAAGTTATTTCTCAAAGACAGCATTGGTTTACCCCATTATCACCCCAATGGTGATCATCACAACTGCTTATTGTGTTTGTCTCCTCAGCCAAAAGCCTCTAATGAGCTACAGACACTATATTCTAATTAGATACCTGCACAAACCTGTTGTCAGCTTATGCTTTCACGTGATACATAAGCTTCAGTGGATAAAGAAGCTTCCCTTCAAGGTCTGAATGTTTCCTACCTCAGTGGGTTGTGCTTCACTGGCAGATAACACATTTTCCAGACTCAAGCCAGGCATGAGAACACTCTGGACAGGGTTGGGCCAGGCCCAAGAGCTATTACCTTAATTCCTGAGGGTTAATGAGTCTTGATGAATATGTGTGTATGTGTGTGGGGTAGAGGTCTGACCTGAAATTGACCCAAACACAGAGAGCAAGAGGAGTCCCCAGAGACAGTCTTTCTGCCCAGGCAGTCCCACAATGCAGGGCTTGTGTGAAAACGTTTAAGTTTTCACACTACCAGCAAGGTGGTGATGGCTCCGTCCATTTTTCAGCTCAACTGTTAATGGCCTGGGACCCTGTACAGCTCGCCTTGCCCCGCCCCTCTCTGCCCCTCTCCTCCCCTCTCCCATCTTTAGAAGCCTTTGTCAATTTTTTTCTGTTTTGAAATTCGTAACTATTTACTATTTTCACTGTAATGTGGCTTGAGGTAAAGGTGCCATTAAGGTAACAGCCTGGTATCAGGTTTGTCAGTCCAGAGAGGTTTAGCACTCTTGGAGTGGGGATTGAGAAACTCTCCCAAGTATTCAGATCTCACCAAAGGCGCAGCAGCACAGGCTACGCTGGCATCCAGTTGGAGGGGGGTGTTGCCCTCTCCAGTGACCAGTCGTGCCCTGGGGAGCCAGGCAGCAAAATTGGGTAACACATCTGAGCCACAGGAGGCTTCAGAGGGAACGTGACATTCAAGGTGACTAATGCACAGATATTGGCTTGTGATTTCAGGAGCACTGGCAATATTTCACTACTATGTGCTCCAGGCTTCACCTTCACAATAGCATTGGGTGGAAAAGGGATTGGTGTGTGATAAAAAAAAATAATAAAACAAGGAAAAAACCCCTTTTTCAGTCCTAAAGTATGCCCCAGCAATGAAAGGATTGTGTCACCTGACCTGCTTGAGTGGAGAGGTTTGCGTTCTAGGTACACTTACCTAGCAGGAAGTTGGGAGGAATTCCAGTGAAATGGGGAATGTTGTGTAACATGCATGGCTACAGTTCCCCACCACTTAGAAGATTCTTGTGTTTAAGCC